ATATATATATATATATATATATGTATATATTGCATGTGTATAGGGCAATAGAGACGTACAGCAATACTGGTTCAGGGCCTGGCTTCGAAGTGACAGCCTTCTTCAAGTCTGTGGGAAACTTCCTGGGGATCTTCTGCGGAGCATTTGCCATTGGATCCAGCATGGGATGCATCACTGCACTCATATCCTTCTACGTCGTCTGATGCGCCCGTCGCGACGACACCCTCACCGCGCCAGTCATTGTCTGATTTATTAATGAGCTTCCAACTCTGTCGACATATCGCTGATAGGCATTAATAATTAATTGGAACAGACTATTACAGACTAATAAGCACTAGCTAATAGACATATTGACTGATAGGCTAATAGACTTAGAGACGAATAGGCTAATAGGCATAGACTGATAGACCAATAGACCAATAGGCATAGACTGATAGACTAATAGACGTATAGACTAATAGGTATAGACTTATAGGCTAATAGGTATAGACTAATAGATATAGACTGATAGTTGCAAGTATATTAGTAAGGGGGCATTGCACAACTAAGGAATGATAAGTCGTGAGGTGGTTGCTCTGTCATGATTGTGCGGTAATCATTGAAACCTGGGAGGGGAGGGGCGAGTGTGGGGAGGGGTCACTGCAGCTACAGATTCCTTAACCGCGGTGCACCTGACAAAGTTCACGAAGATCAAGGAGTATCCTCTGCTGGAGACGGCGTTGTTCTTTCTCATGTCCTACAGCACGTTCCTGATGGCCGAGGCTGCAGAACTCACCGGTACGCCTGAAACATCTGCTGTCTCTGTCGCTGTCTATGTCTGCCGTTGAAGCGTTCGAACATGTCTATGAGCCATGTGTGTAGCTATATACTCTATAAATAATATTATTTATTATATTATTTATTATATAATATTATTATAGCTCTCTATGCGTCTATCTCTGATTCTCTCTCCCTCTCCCTCTCTATCTCACTCTTTCTTTCTCCCTCCCTCTCCCTCTCCCCCTTCCTCCCTCTCTCCCTCCATCCCTCCCTTTATCCCTCCCAACCTCCCTCCCTCCCTCCCTCTTTCTCTCTCTAACCCTCTATATTTCTCTCTCTTCCTCTCCCTCTCCCTTCTCTCCCCGCAGCAGTAATCAACATGGTTTCTTGCAGGAATCGTGGCTGTTCTCTTCTGTGGCATCACACAGGCTCACTACACGTACAACAACCTATCCGTGGAGTCGCGGGGGAGGACGAAGCAGGTATGCCCCCAAATACACATCTGTTGCTCAGTAGTCGGTGCGTGCCCCTGCGAGATATTTACCTTAGGTCTGTTTGCGAGCCAAGGAATGGTCGTTGTCTGCCCTAATCTGGTTTTGTATGTTGTTAGGGTTATTGTTATTAATTATTGGTTTGTCGTGCTACAGACACGTATACTTTACTTCAGACACATCCCCACAGGGGAGACATGCACTTTCCATAGTTCTGTGTTCGTTAATACAGAGTGATCTTTTTTCTATTTATGTCTGATTTGTATGTCATAAGGGATGGGCTATGAACATGATATAACATATTAATTTGGTAAAAATTGTAAAAGAGTACTAGCAGCAGCAGTAGCAATAGCAGCAATAGTATAACATAGTAAATGTAATAAATATAACAGTAGTATATTATTAGAAGTAAATATAAACAAATTTGGGTTTTTATTCACTCTTGATATCATTGTGAACGTGATAAGCACAGTGTTAGCAGTAGCATGACTCAGTAAAATCTATCGATGAGCTGTTAAAATGTTTCTGACGAGATCTACATTTGTTGCAGTTGTTTGAGCTTCTCAACTTCCTCTCGGAGAATTTCATCTTCAGCTACATCGGCGTGTCTGTTTTCACGTTCAGTAACCATCACTGGGAGGTCGGCTTCATCATGCTAGCAATAGTATCCTTGTTGGGCGAGCGAGAGAGAGAGAGAGAGAAAGATAGATAGATAGATGGAGCGTGACAGGAGGAGAGGGAAAGAGACAGAAAGAGTGGGATGCAAGGGTGAGGAGGATGGGAGGGAGAGAGGGAGAGGGAAAGGGAGAGATAGACATAAAGAGTGGGATGCAAGGGTGAGGAGGATGGGAGGGAGAGGGAGAGAGACACAGAGGGAGAAGAAGGCAAGGTCAGAGGATGGGAGGGAGGGAGGGAGAGAGACAGAAGGAGAGAAAGTGAAAGAGAGGTAGAGAGGGAGAGTGAGATATATAGTGTGAGATAGATTGAGGGGGAGGAAGGGATGTAGAGAGAAGGGGAAGATGGGAGGAAGGGAGTGAGAGACAAATGCATTCTTGACTGCTTGGCTGTGCCGTGACCTCGTTCGTGTCCTTGACCCCCCCGGCTGCATAGGTGGCGATCGTGATTGGCCGTGCGATGAACGTCTATCCGCTCTCATTCTTGCTCAACCTCGGTCGCAAGCAGAAGATCACCTACGCATATCAGCACATGATGATGTTCGCCGGTAGGTGGCACCATATATATACACAGAGATAGAGGGAGAGAGAGCGAGAGTGAGAGAGAGCAGGAGAGAGAGAGAGAGAGAGAGAGAGCGATTATAAGGAAAGCACACAGACACCAGTGGATTCATAACATTAAAATCAAAATAGAATATGGTGTCATAAATTTACCTTATCGAGCGAGCTTGCGAGACTATGTCTCTTCCTCAAGCAGAATGGCACAGGTGCATGACATGTACACATCATGATATGAAAGATGTAAGAATGAAACTGTGTGACGGTTGATGATGTATGTATACATCATGCTATGAATAATGTAACAATGTAATGGTGTGTCGGTTGCTGATGTATGTATACGTCATGATATGAATAACGTAGGAATGTAATGGTGTGGCGGTTGCTGATGTGCGTATCATGATATGTCGCAGGGTTGCGTGGAGCGATAGCGTACGCGCTGGCCATCCGTAACACGGCGTCGGTCGCGCGGCAGACGATGCTCAGCACGACGGTCATCATCGTGCTGTTCACCGTCATCGTGCTCGGTGGATGCACCACGCCCATGCTCTCATGGCTGAAGATCAGGTACTGTGTGCGTGCGTGCGTGCGCGCGTGCGTGTGCACGTGTGTGAGTGCACAATCAGTTAACTTAGTGTAACATCGTAAGGAATGTTTAGAATTGGATTGATTCCTTGTAAGTGACAATAAATGTTGAATGTCCTCCATTCGTTTTCAGGGTTGGTGTTGAGGATGAGCAGGAAATGCACCACTTCACAGCTGTAAGGACCGTAAGTCGGAGGCAGCACGTGTCCATGCATGTTCACTTGTTAGAGCACGTCGGCGACGATGTGTAGAGTTACGTTACCGTCACGACGTTCGCTCAACCTGTTTATCTGTGATAGAATATTCCTGGTGGACTGGCACTGATGAATTGCAAGAAAATGGCAATACGTAACACATACGCACATGCACGCATGCAGACACACACAGACAGACACACACAGACACACACACACACATGCACACACACACACACACACACACACACACACACACACATACACGCGCACGCATGCATGCACGCACGCATGCAGACACACACAGACACAGACACACACATACACGTGTGCACACACACACGCACACACACATACAAACATACGCACGCGCACGCACACACGTGCAAACACACACGTGTGTACACACGCACTCGCACGCTCACGCACGCACACGCACAGAGAGATATCCTCTATATCCCTACTTGCAATTCATCTGTGCTATATATAAATGTTTCTCTGAGATTGTATAGACTGACTAGCTGTCGTAATTGTTGTAAACAAGTGAGCATGCACGCATGTGGTGGTAAAGTTGGCATAGGAAACAGTGAGAATTCCATTACAAGTGTTTGTAATGCTGGAGCCAACTTAATGTCATATAATTTTAGTAAATTAAACACATTTGCTATCAGTTTCTCGCTTCAACTGCCTATTCACTCCAAATGTGTTTTCCAGTGTGGTTTAATTATAAGATATGATTAAATTTATGTTAGGTTTCTGAGCATGACAGTTACTTGTTACTATTCCTACTCACAAAAATAATGACATAATATTTTTTACCTTTTGGTTTAAGTGTGAGTAAGTGAGAAACTGATATATGTCATGTGGATTCTTGCAAATAGTATTTGTGATAAGTTGCTATAGATATAATATGGGTGTATTGAACACTATGTAGTGGAATGTCCCATTCATTGTGGATGTAGTCGTATCTATTAGTCGGCCTATCTATTATTACTCCCTCTACATCTGTTGTGTGGCTCATCCACTCTATTTGTCTCTTGAGTCACCTCTCTCACTCTCTCTCTCTCTCTCTCTTTCTCTCTAGCGCTCTTTCACTCTTTCTCTCTCTCTCTTTCTCTCTCTCTCTCTCTCTCTCTCTCTCTCTCTCTCTCTCTCTCTCTCTCTCTCTCTCTCTTTCTCACAAGCCACCCATTCATTCATTCAGCATTCGATATCACGAGTAAATTATAACAGTATTCACTTCTAATATATCTATTATTTAATGTGATCATTCACTATTATTAAATATCTTCTAACTGGTCACTTATGATTAAGTTTATATTACTGGGTAATAGTTGTAACTCTCACCCCTCTATAACTTATATGTTTCGTCTGTCAGTAACTGTGTGCAAGTTGTCTCATTCTGTTACTCTCTCATGCATCATCTGTCTGCCATGTTTTGTCACTCTGTCGTTTGCTCTCGCTTCCCGTGTTCTGTAGTCGTCTGATCATCTGCGCTGCGTTGCTCTGTCGCTCGCTCACGCACCCCGGGTGTTTCTTTCACGCTGCCTCTCACATTCGCGGTCGATAGGAATCGTATCAGAACGTGTCGTCTATTTCTCACTCGTCGCAGCCGAGCCCGTCGTCGCCACACGTGGCGTCCCACGTGGCGCCACTGTCGCACGAGGCGCGCGCGCAGGAGAAGGCTCGGCTCGTCCGCGTCTGGTACAACTTCGACTACAAGTATCCTTTCATCGGCGGCGGCGGCGGTGGCCTTGCCTGTATGTGTGTGTGTGCGTGTGTGTGCGTGCATGCCTGTGCGCGTGCGTGTGCGTGTCACTTGGCCGATCTATGTGCAATTACTTATTTGCCATATTGTTTGCATTAACTTATTGACCATATTGTTTTCTTCGCTGTGGTGGCCATATTGTTGTCTTTTCTGCAGTGGCCGTGTTGCTTTATGTGCTGCGGTGGCCATGTTGTTTCCTTCACCGCTCGATCAGATTTCTCAAGCCACTGTTGACGAACAGCCGACCTCTCCTCACCGAGACTCTACCCACCTTCTGCATGCCCCTCGCGCGGCTGCTGACCACCGACGAGCAGGCAAACACGGTGAGTGACCACACTGGCTTCCTCTACGCAACAATGCTAATCAATACTGCACCGGCTTCCTCTATGTCATGATACTATTTGATACCGCACCGGCTTCCTCTATGTCACGATACTATTTGATACTGCACCGGCTTCCTCTATGTCACGATACTATTCGATACCACACCGGCTTCTTCTATGTCACGATACTATTCAATACCCTCTACTTGATGCTATTTGATGCTGCGTATTAGAGATGATGACGTAATTAGCTGGAGCTTTAGGGCTTGCACGGCGTGGAGCCTGGAATGACCGTGTAGCTTTGTCGTTTTGTCGATAACGAGTCGTGTTATTAATCAGTCGTTCAGCTGCGTATTACGAACGCAACGCTCAACGCACGCATAGGTTAGTGTACCCTTGTACACTATTATTACTTTAGGTATACCCTTCGTCTTCGATTCCGGGTGGGGCAGTGCGGGTTTGGCATAGTGGATCGGCGACCCATAGAGACTCCGTCCACGCCTCCGCAATGCACTGATTTCGTTTTCGCGGATATTCAATCGGTTGCGTGAATGCCAGTTTCTCATCACCATTGCGTACACGCAGTACCCTCAATTCGCGTCCATGTCGTAGATTTCGGCTGTCAAATACAAGCCCGGGACACTGTTATAACACAGTGCAACCGGCTATTATATAATAATATACTTAACGAAAGACTGCGTTTTCGATTTTTGACCGAAATTTAAACATCAGGGGTGTACGCTGTGTTGTTGTCAGATGGCTGTACAAACGGTATGTGCAAACTTGGAAGGTGGCGAAACAATCACTGTGGAACTCAAATGGCATTTCCATATCATTGTGAGAGGTAAAGAGTATAGAGGACAGTCCCAAAAATTAACTTGATCAATCGCTCTTTTACAAATTCGATCCAAATTGGTTCATCTGGGGCTCAGGATTGAGTGAGATGCGATGTCAAATGATTTTTGATTGGCCGTGCAGATGTGACTAGCTGTGTGAGCGATCTACACGCATCAAGTATCCAACATGCGGTACTAATGTGCAGCAACAATGAAATATAGGGTAGCTCAAAGTCATTCGTAAATGCTGGATTCGTATCGGCATTCATAAAGCAAATGTTCATAAAGCAATAATTAGTTATGACATCATGATGCAGACATCAAGTCTAGGTTCTACTTTTCAACATGAAGTGTAGTCATAATTATTCATGATGTTTCTTCTGTCAACGGCCCAAATGGTTTGAAACGTTACGATTTTTTGTGTACGCCATGTTTGAGTGTGTAGTCTCTATAATTGCCTTATGAGTGACTCTTGTCTTTTGCCTTCCTGCTGCCTCAGATACCTACGTCACCTCTCTGCTGCGCATGCTTTCGTATGACCAAATTAAAGGTACTGTTCACTTATTGGACAGAGAATGGTGTAGATGGCAGTGCATGTCGCCACTGATGAATCAAGATAGTTAAAAAGTCTTCCTTACTATCTTAACTGGGTTTGGAGGGGGTTGTCCTTTTAAAGCTTGCAGTAGTAGTAAAAGAATAGCAAGACAAATGCAAAGCTTCATATGAGAAATACAGTTTCAAATCCCTGCCACGTGTCAGCACCTATCTGAGAACAGCAAAAAGATGTAAGGGTTGGTGTGTTTGTAGGAGGATGAGGGGCAAGCATGATGCAACCATGTCTCACAGTGTCAAGGCTCTACATTACTATTCATATCGATAGGGTACACTGGCTTTTTAACTTCCGAATGACACAGTATTGAAAATCTTGACAAAATACTAACTCTGATGAATCTTTTGTGAGACCATACGTGCCACAAGTTTACGAACAGTTCTTTGAGTTTATCCGCACTGTGTAAAAACTTTCACTTTGTTGGTACACAACACGCTTAACTGTGAAGTCTCCTAGTGAATCGCATGTTGTATTTTTCACATCAATGTAACGGTTATGTATGTGTTCTATACTGCATATTATGTTTCTATATTGTTGCTTGATGTCACGTATTATTTCCGCACTTTGCATCCCCCATCCAGTGTTCTACTATGTATTTATTAAATTACCTAGACAGGGGGAAACAGGAACATGGCTATGTATTGAGTTCCTGCATGTGGAGTAGAGGGGGACTGTTTATATAAACCTACTCTGTCGAGGTCCTCCTCACAGTACGTGAATGTGCATGTGTCAGCATGGTAGTAGAGTAGCTTGCTTGCCTTTAATAAGCTTTTCTTCTTTGTTTTTTGTTTGATTTTTGTAGCCGTTAGACGAGGACAAGGACGATGACAGTGAGCTCATTGTAGCTGACTCGTATTACAGCATTAGCGGACATCAGGTCAGCCATATTTTGCCTGCCGAATGCTTATCTGCATGAAGCTAGGGTAACCATAGTCCTCCCACATGTAACCGAGGGGAGCATCACAGTGGATGTGCATCTAGACTCACATTCGTGGCTAGGCGTTGGGCGCTTCTGTTGCAGGCCACCCCCTAAAACTGCATGTGCCCCTTTCATGTTACGTACGTGCCTTGCTTTCACTTGGACCAAAATTGTTCTCTTGTGAATCCCTGCATGAAAAGTCTAACTAAATTAATTTAAAGTTAAGTTATCTGAAGTTTCAATCTATACCGAAACCAGCTTTTGGGGAGACCATGTATGACGGTGTAAAAAGTAATGTAAATACATATTTCCTAATTTTTTCATGCCCCCTAAAAATTACGCATCGTTTCTATTGAGCCTCCTGAGCTCTGACAAACACCGCAAGTGTTGAAGAGCGTTGAGTAGAGTGAGATTACAGGAGAAGTTATTAATAGTCTGAATTGCGTAGTAGGGGACGTATGGTAACCCTGCATCAGTGGGTCCTAAACGCTTCCTAGCTGGCGTTTAAGATTCTACTCTTGTAGCTAGGTTGGCACTCCCTTGAGGCAGCCAGTGTTATGACTATAAGTTAAAGTTTGGGTGAGTAACTAGAGACCAATCACTGGGGGTGAAATGACCCCCACACAATAATCTGACACAGTGGTTAAAACAACTCACATACAATAAATATCATGTAATGCCGAGGCTCGCCGAGGATTGACACTTTGTGTCTTCCAATCACAGCCTACGCCGCACCTCTGTTTGATATTTTTATAGGTGGGGACCCATAACAGCATGGAATCGCCGATCTCAGGAACTAGGGCATTCTGCTAGGCTAGAACGGTTTCCTACGATAAAGTTTGGCACAAAAACGAAAATAACACGCTGTTTAGCGCACTGCGCTACGTCCTTCTGTTGAATTTTCACATCTCCGTATCTGAATAAGCCTCGCCTTCTTCGTTGATGGGCATGAATGGGGCGTGACCGACGTTGACGCGGTTCCTGTTCCTACCGTTTTTGCCGCCTATTTACTTTTCGTAAATAATAAATGCTCGCCGATGCATTTCGCATCGAAGAGGAAAATTTTCCGCATTTTCACTCACTGTTGGAAGTGAACGAGTGCGTCATTCATTGAACATTTTTCATCAATACAGCCAATGTTCACGCCACAGCGCCATCTCTTGGATGTTATAATAAGTAAAATATGGGATTTTCAAATAATGCGTTTTTAATGTATTTACCACCGATTACTCGTATAGAACTATATGTTATTTTATTCGATTTTCCGTATCTTTCCTTGGAATTTTCATCGTCTTTCAATGCTTTTCCGTAGATTTTATTTTTTCTGCGTGTATTATTATTCTGCGCAGGCACTCATTTGGAAATCCTCCAACATTTTTACTTTTTCCTTAGTTAAGTTAGTGCATGTTTCTCTGTTATTTACGAAGGAAGGTAAAACTGCGATTTGTATAATTTCAGCTCTTGCTTCTATAGTATGATTTCCATAATTTTGCTTTTTCTGCCCATGATAATAATATTATTTTGCTCATCATGAAACGGCTCATCATCAACATTTTTCAGTTCGGACTCTTATCATATCGTTATAACCTCCTATATCATTAATTAAATCCCCTAGGTATGAATATTTGGTGCATTTTTTGATTACTTGGTTGCCTATTGGCTTGGTTGCCTATTGCCTTGGTTGCCTTGGTCTCCTTCTCTATCCTTTCTTTGTTTGTGAATTTTATAACCATTGTATTTGTTTTGTTCATACTAAATTCTAATCTTTTTGATTCAGCTAATCTGGAGCATGACTGAGCGATTTTTGTTACTGTTTTATAATCTCCAATTCCTAGAATATCGTCCACATATAATCATTGTCATCTTCTAAAACTACAGACCATCCGCTGACCGCTGTGGAGACGTGCGCTGGGCCTCGAATTTGGCGCACGTCTCCACTGCGGACAGCGCTTCATACTTGAACATTCCCGCGGTCGCGTGCGCATATCCCGCGGAACTGCGCAGCTCATCCGCGCGCAGCACTTAGGATCAACAGCAAAGCTGTGCCACGCAATCTTGTATCATGTCTCTCTGGATTAATCGTTACTTGTTTCTACTAACAACTACTAACTGCAGCCTGTTCTTAATCACTAAGGGTTGCTTTGTTGCTTGGCAGTTTTGTGTGGTGACCCAGTAGTTTTAAAAGCCACCGTCTTCTTACTAACTCTTGCAGTGTTCACTGTTACTGCTAAGCAATGCTGCTGCTTCTTTCTCTTTTGGGCAGAGTCTCCCTTTGGGACGTGCTCGCCAATTAACGTGTCTTTGTCCACTGTACACGATATATTGAGAAGGTTTTATCATGTAGGCAGTAGATATTCACACTACAAAGCGTGAACATTTGTTTTAAGCACCCTCATGATATGTGTAACAAACTTGTGACCACAGTGAGGGAGGTTGAACAGGTGCTATTTCTTCCCTGAGTATAACCTGTAGCTAGGGTGGCAGAGGAAGCTTAGCCCTTCATTAGTGGAACCCCTATTCCCTTCACTAATGAAAGTCTCTCGTCTCGGAATGCTATGCATGTTAGGGTAGCAACACGAAAAGCTTGTAGTGTCTCACCCTGCACTCTTAACTCTCACAGAAACCTATCACAGAACATACCCAATGATTACGATTCCTCTCTTGTTCAAAGCTGCATTGTTCATTGACAAGCTTTACGATTAATTTCTACATGTGCTCTGTATGGTTTATATGGTCATCTATTTATATGGTCACCTACCAGCATGAATTTATAAATAAAAATAGCAAAGCTAGAGTAGTGAAATGTGGCACAAAAAAACATTGGTTAAAAAAATTTTGGTTTAAAACGTTCAACCATCATCCAAATGTACGAATGAAGCTTAATGTTCTATTTTAATGTACACGAATGTACCCTATGTTCTGCGACATCATACGTACAAATTAAACCACGATTCTCGAACCAACCGAGCTTCAACTTCCGAATGTCAACACGGGAAGGAAACTTTGTGAACCAATTGGGAACCAGAGACGCCTTGAAAGCCATTACCCCCCACCCCCACCCCACACCCCAGGGGCGGGGAGTGTGCACAATGCTCTAATGTAGTGTACTGATAGTTGAGTACAGTTTTGGTGTAGTGCCTAGCTCATAGGTGTTGCCACGTACCGTCAGTGCGTGCCTTTAGCATAAATAATAGTCTGCCATGTGCCCTCAGTCTGCAGTTTTAGTGTAGCATTTGCCCTGCAGGTGTCGCCACTTGCCACATTCTCTTGTTTTTTTCCCCGACCAGTCTTTCCAGAATGCGGATGACGAGGAACTGATACTGGACGATGGGTCACACGGCGTCGCAGCCGCTGCTGTCCACAGCTCGGAGGTCAACAACTCGGCAAGTTCGGACGCACGGCCGCCAGACAGGGTAAGCGCGTGTCAGCAATGAGCTGTGCTTGACCTGGGGGGGGGGGGAGCTAGCGAACGTTGGTTAATCTTAGACTAGCTGATCCGGCCGTGGCGAGGCGAGTGAATCTAAGTCAGCGTTGGTCATGTGTACGCTCACGAGGCACGTGAGCCGTTTAAATGATTGGATTGTTTTGCCATTCGAAATCATGTGGAGTGACCAATGTGGGTGGGGGGGGGGGGGGGTTGAGGTGTCATTCGTTGTGAGTTCACCGATAAATTTCTCGTTTAGCAAGGGCGACACTCAAGGCCACTGCTTGAATTAATAACTGTGATTTATATTTAAATTAACTTGGATATTAATTAAAGAAAAAAATTAATAAATAAGAGAAATAAATAAGGTGAGTTGATTTTTGGGTGGCAACCCCGCTCCGTGAGATGTCTCGATTTCGAGGCAATGTCATTCCCAGTGCTGTCATAATGTGGCATGCTAGATGCCACGGGGTGTGTGTATCGTATTGCGCATGCTTACGTACTGTAGTCTGTGTTTATTTAGATTATTTTGTCGGAGAGTTTCGGTCGAGTCTACTTTAGGACCCCAGTCCATAATAATGGGTGATGATTAGGGTAAGGTTTACAGCATGGTTAGGGTTAGGGTGATGGTTAGAGTTAGGATTAGGGTTACAGTTAAGGTTGGAGTCAACGTTAGGCTTAGAGGTGAAGGTAGGGGTCAAGGCTAGTGATTATGCTTACGGTTAGTGGTTAGAGTGATGGTGTGTGTGCCGGGGTCCTGAACCAGACCAGAGCCAACAAATGATTCTTTGAGAGCAGCTGTTATGTATGTATTCAGTTTTGTAGCATCTACCTTAGCGACGCGCGTGTCTACCTTTAGCGATTGGCCCGTTACCATGATTGTCGTCATTTTCAGTTTGACGTGCACATATAGGGCATTCTGCTGCTGTGCTTCACCCTGGCAGATGTGACGGAAGGTAGTAAGGAGTGCACACTACGCGTGGCTCTCTGCTTGCATGCTCTGTGATTGCATGCTGCTCTATGTTACAGCTGATGTTACAGCTTGCCCTAACAACCCATCGGGGCCATAACTTGCTGAGCAGAGGTGGGGGAGGGAAAAATTCATCCATCCGTTCATCTATCCGTCCATTTATTCGTTCATCTATCCATTTATCCATCCACCCATTCATCCATCCATCCATCCATCCATCCATCCATCCATCCATCCATTCATCCATCCATCCATCCATCCATCCATCCACCCATCCAGCCATCCATCCATCCATCCATCCATCCATCTATCCATCCATCCATCCATCCATCCATCCATCTATCCATCCCTCCATTCATCCATCCATCCATCCATCCATCCATCCATCCATCCATCCATCCATCCATCCATCCATCCATCCATCCACCCATCCATCCATCCATCCATCCATCCATCCATCCATCCATCCATCCATCCATCCATCCATCCATCCATCCACCCATCCATCCATCCATCCATCCATCCATCCATTCATCCATCCATCCATCCATCCATCCATCCATCCATCCCATCCATCCATTCATCTATCCATCCATCCATCCATCCATCCATCCATCCATCCATCAATCCATCCATTCATCCATCCATCCATCCATCTATCCATCCATCCATCTATCCATCCATTCCGCCCAGGGTTGTAACTTGGGAGAGGAGGGAGGGAAGCAGATCCCAGCCAACATCATGCATGTGTGTGTGTAGGGGGGATTGTATGTGGTTTTAAAACGTTTTGCATTTTTAAATTGCAAATTTTTGTTGTTTGCATTAATTAGGCCTTTTATTATATATTTCTCCAAAATCTAGGGGGGCCAGGGGCGGATTCAGACCGTATTTGCCGTATTGGGAAATACGGTCTAGATTTCAAAGTGCCCTTCGAAATTTTGCGCTAAAAAATACAGAAATCAATTTGATGGAATTTGGCTATATTCTGTATTTGTTTTCTTTTTCTTCTGATTCATTGACAGGACTTGAAGGAAATCAAAATTTTACATGGTAACAAAACTAGCTTTGATATCTGACAAAGAAGGGAAGTGCTTGAATCATTCTGCATTAATTGCTGTTATGCAAAGCGCAAGCAAAATAAAGCAGAAATAAAATTCCATATGGTTTTTAGCTATTGCTGCTTGACTAAATGTGTGCTCAAATGGTGCTCATTTTTGTGCCCAGGGACCCTTAAAATTTTGAAATTTCCTGGGGGAGGCCCCCCAGACCTCCACCATGTGCTTCCGTGCCTGACGGCGCTCACTGTGGGGTGGTGTGCCCTTTTTGGGGGATGTGCCCTGAAAATCTGGGAAAATACTGTCTAGCTTCAGCCCTGGATCCGCCCCTGGGGGCAGTCTGGGTTATTTTGATTCACAGAATGCTGATTTTTGGTTAATAGTGGCTGTGTTTTGATTTTTTTGCAAGATTGCATGTATTTGCATGGGGTATTGAATTTATGTATATTTATATATTTCTTTCCATAAGTGGGTGTGAGTTGGGGTAGTGTTGGGTGTTGGGTTACGTTTAGTGTTAGATTGAGGTTAGTGTTACTGTTAGGGCTAGGGAGGGTGTTAGGATTAGGAGTAGGGTTTGGGTTAGTGTTGTGATTAGGCCCGGGGGGGTCACTATATATGCTGGTATTACCCCATGTGCGTTCTCACTAAAAATAATAGGCACCCTAGTGCCAACTGCACATTGGAAAACCCTACCCCCTATTGCAGACACAATTGAAGAATACCACCCCGTATTGCATACACAATGAAAAGAGTCTTACCCGGACCCCTACCCCCTATTGCGAGGTCTTGCAGACAAGTGGAGGGCAAAGAGTGGAGGGAATGGAGGGATCCCGTGAGGGGGGCCTACTGCGGGCGCGGTGCTTGACTTGAACGATCCCGAGGGCTTATTGCGGGATTAGCTTTGTAAAAGGGTGCCTATTTGCTCCCGCTCGGGCCCGCTTTAGAAGTTGAAAAACACCCCCCTAACCCGCAAAAATTTGGAACGCACATGGGGTAATACTGGCATATATAGTGACCCCCCCGGGTGATTAGGTTTAGTGTTGGAATGAGGATTACCGTCAGGGTCAATGTTAGGATTAGGGTAAGGGTTGGACTTGGGGTTATGTCTGATTTCTGTCACCAAAATTCTGACCCGTTGCCATGGCATTTTTTTGTTTTGCTTGCGCATGTTTCACAGTCGCACACTATGCGGACGCCACTGCTAAGGGTAGATGCGTCCCCCTCAAGTAGCTGCTTTGCTACATTCTAGACACGGCTTATAGTAGTAGTGTTAGCTCGTGACGAGTAATTGAATCGCACGATGTAGTTTGAGTAGCTTTTTCTTTAGTCTTTAGTCTTAGTAGTTTGTTTTAGACTCAGTAGTGCACCGATCATGTTACTAAGCTTGAGTAGTGTGTGGTATGTGTAGCATGTGTGTGATGGGGGAGAGTGATGGAGGGGGGAGGGAAGCCAGGCAGACAACAAGGTGGATTAGAAATGAAACAATTTAAATTGTAATTCAATTAATTATTTATTTGCTTCAATTTGATTTTAAATAATAAATTAAATGTTAAATTTACAAAGAAAGAACTTTAATTTAAGATAGAATTTTAATTTATTTAAATAGTATCTTAATTTTAGTGCAGACGTAGAAGGCATGGGAAGCAAAAATACAAATGGATGCATGCTGTAGACAAAGTGTAAGAGGAATGCCACAGAATGATAGAGATAGCTGCACGCATGATCACTCATGCTTGTTGCAACATTTTTCACTGCTTTCATTGCATATTTATTTCTGTTTAGTCTTGCATCTGTCCTGTGGCCTGAGCCTGTGTCATTTACTGACGTTAACAGCGTGTGCGGCTTAATTTAATTTCGAGAGTACAGAGAAGAAAGTGGGCTTGCTTGGGTCAGTGAGTGTTGCTGTACACCGCAGGCTTACATAACATTTCTACTTCCACCGCATACTAAGCGGTGACAGGACAGAAGGCTTGTTTTACACACACACACAAAAGGCCGGCTTGTCCTCTGGAATTGCATTCCTAACACATTTATCCACGGATGTAATTGACCTACATAGGTGTATAGCTATGCTTGAGATACAAGGCTGAAATATGAAGGAAGATGGGTAAAAATGACGTTTCACACGACGTGTGTATGTCTTCACTATGATTACAATACAGCAATGCCACACGTACCAGTGGTAAACCTCCATAGGCACTCACGTTCAACCTCTACATATATATATATATATATATTTATATGTTTGCTTGTGGTTAGCAGTAAATTGAGGAAAGATATTATGACAGATATAAGCGAAGCTATCAATAAATATAAGAGAAGATACGGGTAAATATTAGAGAAGATATCGATAGATACGAATGAAGATAGAGATAAATATATAAGTATATAAATGTCAGAGAAGTTGTCGATAAACATGGATGATTGTGCGAGAGATTATCGAAATCATCTTCCCGTTGCCTTTCAGGTGCAGGCTCCGGCCGCTGATGACGCATTCACGGGTGACCTTGGACTCGGTGATCACGTGATGCAGGCGCGAGTGAGGCTCCCCGGACCACTGGGCGACAGCGTATGACCCGACCCGACCTCTGACGCGGCTGCCGCGACTGATATTAGTTTTGCGCGCGACGGATTCCTTTTGCTGTTTGAAAAGTTACAGGATCTAATGATTATTGCTTGGGTCTGAAAGCACCGATATATATGTATACACACACACACGCACACACGCACACACAGCTACGACGAAAGCTTAGCCATGACGATTCGTTGCCCTATGACGTGTTAGCCCTTTAGTGACAATTACTTGGTTGGTTTCATCAATAGCCTTCAGCGATAATAACCCAAAAAAACTGATGAGGCCCGTTGTGGGCGTTGCCACAGTTACGACCTCATGTCGTATTCCCCCGATGGGAGTACTATCTCTTTGGTGGAATTTTCAAAGCCAGGGAGGTTTCTAGGTCGTGTGCACTAACATCGTTGCTTTTACGTCCGTCTCCGTCGTGTCCTACGGTATGTTAATACTGGTGACAAATCATGGAGGTCGTGTAAACTTAAGGATGCCTGCGTGCGTGTATTATTAAGTATTGTATATTATTTATGTAGTATATTTGTGACCACAGTGTTCTCATTGCACGCTTGTTAATAATCTATAAATGTGTATATCCCGACTTATGCAACCTCGTCCATGTCTTGTAATACTCTAGCAATCTTGCATAATCGTGCCCCCCTCAAATTATTTCTGACAGCTTCATTATTTCGGTGGTTTTACACCTCTTCAGATCTGAGTTTCTTCCGTATATTTTCCAGAAGCATGGGTGACACCCTCTGTGGTTATTGTAGCGTAACATTATCTCAACTGGCCTTTTGATTTCAGATTTAGATTAACCGTATTGTCCTTTCGGTTCGTGGGTTTTGTAAAAAGGGGCGGCAGTAGGTGGGCATGTACAACGGGTGCTACTTGTTAGTGGTAGAAGAATAAGAAATAAAGGTTGAGAAATGTCAGTAAGATGTCGTAGAACAGGGCCGTAGCATGAGAAAATTTTTATAAGGGCAAAATTTCAATTTGATTAATAAGTGATGAGGCAGGGGCGCTTCAACGGGCGACTATGTCATGCTTTACACGTATTATAAGGGTATTTAAATATATTGGGGTTTTTTTCTCAAAAATCTAGCGTGACTGTAAAATCACTATATGGCACCGTTATAGTTTGCATAGACACCTATTATTAAGATTTCAGAGACAAGCGGCAGGTATGGGTGCGTGTGTGCGTGTGTGCGTGCGTGCGTGTGTGTGCGTTCGTTCATTTCGATAGTGTGCGTTATATTGGTCGCCGCGTAAGGATATGCTCAATCAAAATATAAGTGATGGACGAGGCCATACAGACGTGCTGATACGTTGTTACTGTCCTGTGATGACTCACTGAGATCTTTTGTGAATATCGACATATTTATGCTGTGTGTTGATGGAAACGGCAGAGTGATTGTCGTCGTCGTCGTCGTCGTCGCCGCTGTCGTCGTCGCCGTCGTTGTAGTTGTGGTTGACTATCGGATGGTTTGTCTTGAGGGCGTTGGTCGTTGCACCCTTGCTGTCAACTAAGATGATATCAATCGTGTAAACATTCATTGATTCGTCGTTCCTCTTTTTGCTATTGTTTATGTGCTTGTATATTTTTCTTATACATCGGTTAGTTGTTCGTACCCGTCATAGATCGTTTTTGTTTTCGTTTTTATTTTGTTTGTATATTTTGTGTGTGTTAGATTACGGTTTATCGGTTCTTGTTTCGTTTGTTCGTTTATTGATTCAAGTTACGAAGCACACTTCGTAGTTGTCAAAGCTGTGTTGTGGGTTGCTTGGTTCCTCACCTACTATACAGGAGGGCATGTACGTGTAGCGCAATTTTTCTGCTAATGCGTCGATTATTTATATGATGTCGTTTGTTGCGTTTTGTACGGTCTATTTTTCATGTGTAATTTTTCCTGCCATTTCACGTTTTCGTGATGGCAACTTTCTTCGCGTGCGTGCGTGCGTCGGGGTGTGTGTGTCGTGGTGTGCGTGCGTGTGTGTGTGTGTGTGCACGTGCGTGCGTGCGTGTGCATGTGCGTGCGTGTGTATGTGTGTGTGTGTGCCTACCTGTATGTCTGTGTATTTGGCAATGTGTAATAGCTGCTTGTGTTGGCTAGAGGCTGACAAGCATACAGTGTGTCAGGTATATTATTAACCTCTCTGCCTGAGCGAAATAACCAGCACGGCTCTCATTGGATATTCTTTTAGTTTATAGGTCGGTCAAGCCAGACCAGTGTATGCGTGTTTTCCACTCGCGCACATCAAAATGTCAACTGTGCAGCACTTTGTTGTGAAGCATTATTTTTAGAACGGTCCCTCACGACAGTGATTGGCTAGAGCTGTTTGTCGTCCACGCTAGGCGGATGGGTCGGTTAGTTTGGTTCGAGTCACTTTCTCATCTCAAGTGTATTATGAAGTGTAATATTTTGTAACGTTTCACGATAAACCTCTAGACATACCGTTATCATCATTTACTAATGGCACAGAATATATTGATATATGATCTGATATATTGTAGCGATGAAATGTATTATACTGGGGCCTGTTGTTAGAAAATAGTCTGTAAGACCGTTGACAAAAACATGGCAAAGTTACGAATGTCTTGTATGCAGTTTATAGAGGTCCGGTCCGCAAGAAAAAAATTTATGCTGAGATAAATTTTATTTCTGACAACGGGACTCTGGAGTTTATGCTAACGCTCCATTAGGAGTGTTCCCAACTTTGATATCATTAATGATTAATGATTGATAATCCTAACCCTAAGCCCATAACCCTAACCTAAATGACATTAAATCACAAACTATAATATATTGACCAGTGACCATATATATATATATATACTATAATAATATATATATATATATATTATATCATGGTTATTATGACCATTATGACACTTAAAGTTGGAACACTCCTAATGGAGTATCACCCGGAGTTTACGTCACGACAGATTGTACCCTGCGAGTCGGTCATTTACTGGCCGTACCTGTATAGCAACCATGCTGACTTATTGATGATGTATTTGTATTAGCCGTGGAGACAAATCGATGAGCCTTAGAACACACACCGATTATAAAATGCTGCATAGTAATATGTATACTTGTATCTGCATGATGAAAATATACAAATCTGCGTTTGATTTTACGCATTACTGTAAAGAGAAATATCCATATTCGTGTTCACCAGGAGTTAATAAAAGAATAAAAACAAATATATGAATATGATAATCGCACACTATATATATCATGTATAATACCAAAATATATCAATATATATTATATAGATATGTAATATATATATAGATAATATATATATATATATATACGGGGAGAGTTGCTACGATTGGTGGGAGTTTTATTGAATTATGAAATTCTAGTCGCAGGTTATATATACGCTGTAACGCTTGTCTACGCGATGATGTCGTTCCACTCGTTTCTGCTGTTCGTTGTTGTTATTTTCCATTAGATCGTGGAACACGAAGATGTGGAGGGGCCGCACTTGTACACTATGTTTTAATATTAGGGTCAGAGTTAGCACCCTAAACCTAATCCTACCCGAACGTTGGATTAATGCTAATCTAAGGCCCCTGTTGCGTCGAAATATCCTCGCAAAATATAGGCATCTGCATCATTGAATATTCAGTAACCTCCAACTTTAATAAATTTGCTCTGTCACGTGCGATCATAATTTGTTTCTCTTCGTGCACTCGTTTACGACTCGTTATTCTTTGCGTCGACTTATAATTGTATATTATTTAATTCGGGTTAGGTTAGGTTATGATTTGTGCATGTCATGGTATAGTAAATGGGAGTGAAAGTATTGTATCGAATGAGTGTCTTGATACTCAATGATAAAATGCAAGAACTTTACAGTGGGAAATACTTACTGTATAAGCCGTATTTTTTGCATACAGATATTTTTGCGAATTCAGACTTGACGGACAATTTTGCGAGTGATTAATTTCGCGGTCGGTTAATTATGAATTATTCGGTATCATTCGGTATGAATTATTCGCGTGTTGTTATTTTCGCGGTCGGGGTCGTACGCGTTCGCGAAATTCGTGAAAATTAAACCACCGCGAAATATACAGCTTAGACAGTAGTTTGCAATGAGCGAGGCGGTATCGAGCTAGGTATAGTAGTGAGTTTATTATATCGTTTTATCTAGAACTACATAGAGTTTTATCTATAATGATATAGTTTTATTTATAATTACATAGTTTAGGATTATTTACATATTTAGGAATATGTAAGCGATGGAAAACTCGTGAAAGTAGGTAGTTGCTTGTTCATGAAGATTCCTCAGCTGTCACTAATCATTCTTGGTTGGACGGTATTTCTCCTGAAAGTAAAAATTTAAAGTCAAAATCATGAAAGTGTGATTAGCATTAGTCAAATCCATAGTTTAATCCTATTAGCTGTGAGTATTGCAATCAACCCTGTGTCTAAGGTTCAATCAAGAGAGACCGCAGATGTGTCTTTTATAGGCAGCTTTGTGTGTTTTATAGACTTCACTCCTGATGTAATAGTATCGACACTGGTCTGGTAGAGAGGTCGAGTAACGCCCCCCCCCCCTATCCATGGCCCCCCATCTACGCCCCCTCCCCTCTATCTACGGTCCTCCCCCTCGTATCTATGGTCCTCCCCCTCCTATCTACGGCCCTCCCCCGCTTATCTACGGCCTTCCCCCATCTACGGTTCTCCCCTTCTATCTACGGCCCTCCCCCTTCTATCTACGGTCCTTCCCCTCCTATCTACGGCCTCCCCCTCCTATCTACGGCCCTCCCCTCTAATCTACGGCCCTCCCCTCTATCTACGGTCCTCCCCTCCTATCTACTGCCCTCCCCCATCTACGGCTCTCCCCCTCTATCTACCGTACGGACCTCTCCCTCCCATCTACGGTCCTCCCCTCTATCTACGGCCCTCCTCCTCCTATCTACGGCCCTCCCCTCTATCTACCGTCCTCCCCCTCCTATCTACGGTGCACCCCTCCCATCTACGGTCCTCCCCCTCCTATCTACGGCCCTCCTCCCCCTGCTACCCACGGCACCGCTAGCTACTGCCCTCCGTATCGTAATTCGTCAATATCCGTGTTGCGTGGTCGCACTCACCGAGGGAGGGGCATGCGTCGCCAGCAGGTCGTCCCAGTCGCTGTAGAACTCCTGCTTGAGTCGCGTCACGTAGGCGACGACGTTGGCACATTTGTCGCGCAGGTAAGCAGTTTGTGGATAGTCGATAGGAATGTAGAGCATTTGACAGAGGTGTCCGAACAAGACAGCATCAATCTGTGAAGGTTAGCAATTATATAGTAAACAATAACAGTTGGCAATAATATAGTAAACAATAACGGTTAGCAATGATATAGTAAACAATAACGGTTAGCAATGATATAGTAAACAATAATGCTTAGCAATGATATAGTAAACAATAACGCTTAGCAATGATATAGTAAACAATAATGCTTAGCAATGATATAGTAAGCAATAACGCTTAGCAATAATATAGTAAGCAATAACGCTTAGCAATGATATAGTAAGCAATAACGCTTAGCAATAATATAGTAAGCAATAACGGTTAGCAATGATATAGTAAGCAATAACGGTTAGCAATGATATAGTAAACAATAATGCTTAGCAATAATATAGTAAGCAATAACGCTTAGCAATAATATAGTAAGCAATAACGCTTAGAAATGATATAGTAAACAATAACGCTTAGAAATGATATAGTAAACAATAATGCTTAGCAGTGATATAGTAAGCAATAACGCTTAGCAATAATATAGTAAGCAATAACGCTTAGAAATGATATAGTAAACAATAACGCTTAGAAATGATATAGTAAACAATAATGCTTAGCAGTGATATAGTTGGCGATAACAGCAGTCATATAGTAAGCGTTGTGGCTAATGCTCCTGAGTAATAAAGGTTACCTCATGCCCGCAGTTTAAGACGTCTTTTCACCTTACCCAAGCTTCATTAATTAGTTGCAGCTATCCACCCATGGACACAGTGTTCCAATTAGTCCTAGCGTTCCACCCACAAAGCTTCCCACGGTTACTCGAGGAGGTACACTAATTGCCATGACGTCATTTCACATCTACGACGTCAGTTCTCGGCATAGAAGAGGAGCGTCGTCACTACCGGATGTGACGTCACGTACCATCGTGGGCCGTGGGCCGCCCATGAAGTAGGTCTTGTCACCGAGGTATCCGGCGACGGAGCTGAGATCGGCCTGCCACAGCTGCCGTTGCTCCTCCGTGGTGTGACGCCCTATGCCGATTAAATGTCCCTTCTTCTTCCACTAGAATTACGAAGGGAACGTAGCTATAGCGGTTTTTTCTAGAAATGCCCCCAAGAAGATAACAGTCGAGCCTTGTGTTAGCGGTTACCAGTATAAATTATATAGAACACGCGCCGGTGACTTTTGACGTTTCCTTTGAACGACAGTTTCACAGTTGAACCACTTCTATATAACGGATAGGAGTCTATAAATGTTTCCTTTCAGTAGCAGTTGCAAAGTTAATCCACCTCTATCGAGCCGACATCTGTCTGTAAAGGACAGTGTTATCGTTTCCTTTAAATGGAGTTTATACAGTAACTACAGCAGACGCGTCTATATATAGTAGGAGGGTAGGGGTAGTAGGTGCATGGTCTATAGTAGGAGACGCGCCTATATAAAGGACATAGAGGAGGGTTTCCTTGAGTGACCCTTCCACACAGGTATGTCTGTATCGCTGGGAGAACTTAGTAAAGAGCTATATATACGTGTTATCGTGAGAGAACTGGACGAGCATGTAAACAAGCAAACAGCTCCTATTTCGTTGTGGGTTTAAAGATCATAGATGTCATACTGGTCACCATACTGTAATTTTATCGTAAGACCAAGTTGACACTGGATCTTAGGATAATCTTATGGGCTGACGTTGGATTAGCATACAATCTAACTTCATATAGTAAATAAATCGTACTGATAGCCTTATAGTGAAACTAAGGTGAGTTGATAATTGTGAATAGTGTGCACTTGGACTAATAAGCTAAGCTATTGATAAGCTGATAAGCTGATATAAGATAAGCTGATATTGGGATTAGGTCCCTATATGCGAACGTGCCCTGTGCCGTATGAATGCTGCGAGCCCTCTCTCTCTCTCTCTCTCTCTCTCTCTCTCTCTCTCTCTCTCTCTCTCTCTCTCTCTCTC